CAAATAATTTATAGGTAACACATAATTCATAAATAACTCATAAATTAACGATTTCTATTTTCCATCAATGCAGTAGCTATTTGGTTGCGAACTTTACCCATATGACTATCATCCAATGCTCTGAACCCATTTCTTCATCATTAAATAGTTTAAGAAGAAAATTTATTCTATACACAATTAGTTGAAAATAATAGATATTGTCATTTATTTCATAATTTTAATTGAAAGTTTAAGTCTAAATTATATAGTACAAAGTTTTATAATTGTTAAATTTTCTTGTAAAACAAAATGTGGATTTATATTATTTATTTTTGTATCTTTATCAAAATTAGGTTAAGTTAATTTGGTTTTGATAAAAAGATAATATTTTAATCAATAATATGATCTCTTATAGTGGGTTAGACTTTAATTCTGTTTGAGAAAACAATTGGTTTGTCAAAAACACAAAAGAAAAAGTACTATTATCATACCTATTTGACATGAACAAATCATTAACATGAACAAACCTATTTAATTTATTTCAATCATAATCAATAAATATTACATACATAAAAAAAAATTAAGAACAAATAAATATCACATAATCGACATATCAAACAATAAATTGAGAAATATCAAATAATAGAGTTTCCAAAACTCAAAAAAATAAAAGAATGATAAAAAATAAAATGAAAAACAAAACTAAAAAAAGAAGAAATAATACTTTAATGTAGTTCTGATTTTTTTGTTTTTGTTCTTTTTAATTTTTGTAAGAATAAAAAAACTCCTGATTTGCAGAAAAAGAGAGAGGAGAGGGAGATTGATAGGGAGAAAGGGAATAGTATTTTTTTGAGAGAAAGTATTTTTTTAGAAAAAAATAACTTTCCTAATAAGCTGGCGTGTTTTTTAAAAAAAAGAGAAGAGAAAGCTTTTAATTGGAGCTTTTTTCAAAGCTCTTTTTTTAAGATTTTATTCTTTAAAAAAAGTTATTTTTTTTAAGAGCTTTTTACGAAATTTTATTTGGCTCAGTTTCTGTTTTTAAGCAGTAGATAAGCTAAATATAAGCCAGGCCAAACGGATACTTAATCTACTCTTATTTTGGCCAAATACTAAAGCTAACACAACTTAATCTTATTTAAATAACCAAAATTAAATATACTAAAAATTTTAAAAAAACTAAAATTAAACTAAAACTCAAAACAAGAACTAGAGCAAAAATAACCAAAATCAATTAACAAAAAGTCTATAACCACAATATCCCCTCAAAGTTTCATTTGAATTTCTTCTTTTCTCTTTTTGCTTACTAGATAGTTGAATTGTTACCCTAGAGTTCTAATTTATTTATAAACATCCGTCAAGGTTCTTATAAAAATATCCATTTCAATCAATTTGTTATATGTTTATGCAAATTGAAATTAAGAAAGATTCATTAAGAACAGACTCTAAGATTAGCTACATACGATAAGTGTATGTCTATCCTACTTATGAATCAAATCAATCACCTCATGCAATTGTTGTTGAAAAAATGCTATTTCATCCATGGCTTACTCTAAACTCCATCTCTCAATTTTGTTTAAGTTTTCAAATCAATCTAATTTGTGATTAAGCAATCGGATGCATGAAGAATAGGATTGAAATAAATAACTCAAACGCTAACAATCATTAGCAAAAAAGAATATTAAAAACTTAGACAACGCATTAGATTTACTCATGATTCTAGATTAAAAACTTAGTTCCCCATAAGAGCTAAAAACATCGTCCAAAAAAGTATAAACATTAAAACTAAACAAAAAAGTATAAAGAGAACTAAATAAGAAAAGAGCTCTAAGATTTTTCAATTCTTTGATCCATAATTTTCCTTTGAATTCTTTGCCTTCATACTTGATTGAATACCTCTTTTTATTCAAATATTTGTTGATTGATACATGCCTTTCGAGCTATGGAAAGGTGGTTTAAATAGGGCTAAAGTCCATGGCCATTTGAAGTCCTTAAAACATTAAAATTCTACCAGAAAAATGGTGACTATAACCATGAAGCTCCTGGACCCCTAAAGCATCCTTGCCTTGTTGGGGTGCCACGATCATGAGGGGTGGGCATCATGGTACCAAATTCTTATGTAATTTTCTCCTACTTCGAGGCTTAACTAGGAAAAGTGATAAACATAAACGTTATAGCTCTGCCTCGTAGCTTTCTAATGGTTCAAGAATTATGTAATTTGGATTTTTGTAGTAAAGATATGCTCCAAAGACCAGAATATGTGTAGTGCAAGTCTACACTTAAAAAGCACTTTTCTTCACAATTTAACACCCTTTGCATTGTTTTACCTACAAAAGCACAAATTAATCAATAATAACTAAATTTGGGGACTTTATCATCAAATGAAGTACAAAATAACTGAGATTAGATTGACTTAACATAATTAACTAAAATCTAACTAATTTCTATGTAATACTACAAGAACTTAGACAACTTACTATATACAATGTGACCATATAACTTTATAAAATAGAGTTATCACTTTATCTTCATATAAAACAACTTAATGTTATTTCCATTGTTAATGAGAAAAGTAAACATCAATTTTGTTTAATGTCTATTGAAAGTAAATAGGAACTCGAACATATTAATTTATGGTTTTACTTGAGATCTTAAATGAAATGGTCCCGTTTTTTCACATCGTTTGTTCTGTTATGCAATCTAGCGTTTTCTACAATAGTTATGGAGCAAATATTATGAATAAAATGTAAGCTTAAAATAGATTTAAATTATGTTGGAATAACATGAGTAATTTAATGTAGTAATAATACAATTAATCTAAATTGTTTGCGTAATAGTTTAAAAAATAGTAAATTTTGTAAGACCTGTTAAGATGGTATCATAACAAACCCTGTTGCTCAGTTGCTCAAATGTTGCAAAGGCAAAGTGATATATTGG